TAGAGCCTTGCTCTGGGTCACCATTTGTGCAGTCCTAAGCTCTGGCCGCAGATTAAAGTCCAGAATGGCACAGAGGAGGAAGAAAACTCTGCTCCAGCCCAAATGGTCAGGAGGTTCCAGGTACAAAAGGCCGAACTGTCCAAAAAATTAGGAATATCTTTTTTGACTTCTCCCTTCTAGAGTGCTTCTTAATGTCAAATTCCACCACCATTTTCCAGGCCATGAGAAGGAAGAGAGAAATTCTTCTGATGCCTGCTCCTGGGTCACTCCCCTGGCAAGCTGGAGCAGGACCTCAGGCCCAGACATGGGCATGGCAGTGAAGTGGGTAGGGACCTTTTGGGCACCTCAGGGAGCCATCCAGCCTGGGATAGGCTGGCTGGCCGGCCTTGTCCAAGGCCTCCGGGACAGTCCCTGATCCCTGTCTGGGGTGCAATGAGGCACAGCCTTTCCTTTCCTCCACTGCCCCAGCAGAGGCACTGGCAGCAGGTAGGAGCCTTTTCCCAGCACTTGGTCACAGAGTCATCTCAGCCTGAGTGTGGCTCTGCCAACCACCTTGTAACCCAGGCAGAGTTGGGTTAGCAGTGCCCCTCAACCAGGGCGCACAAGACAGCTCCTGGCTTCAGTGAGCTGAGCCTACCCCTGAGGTCCTGGCCCCTTCTCTGCACCTGCCTTACCCCAGACAGAAATCGAAGCAATACCCATGAAGTACAACAGAGGCTAGTAGTAAAATGGACAGACACACACACACACGCATATATGCACACACAAAGGCAAGAGCTGCAAAACCTACGACATGTGGCTCTGGCACTGGGATTGGAAGGGGACCTTCTTCAGAAGAAGTCACATTTGCTGTGCCATCAAACTGAGTGGGCAAAGCAAAATCTTAGGACCTTGGGACCGGACAGAAAGAGAGAGGTGGCAGCCATACTTGCCTCAGCCCTCTCTCAGGGGCTGCCCTATGGAGCCCCAGTCCCTTGAGGGGCCTCCCCCCGTGCAGGTGCAGGCCACGCTGTGGGAGCAGTTCCCTCCCAGGAAGCGGAAGCCCGCGGTGGGCTCTGATGAGAACTGCTCAGACACACCAGTGCCTGGTTACTTCTCACTCGCTCCCAAAATTTTATAATTGCTGGGTTTGCCCATCTGCTTCCTCTCTTCCCATCCCAATCCAGACACTTTCTGAGAGGCAGACTCAGGCCCCTCTGACAGACTTCTGCTTTCGAGAGCCTTGGTCCTCCCAGCCCACCAGGCAACCTGCTTGAGGCCACCTGGCCTGAGACCTCCTGGTCTAAGGCCCACTGAGAGGGCCCTGCTCTGTGGGATGGAGGGAGGTCTATATCCCTGAGATGACATGCTCTCAGGAGAATCAGCAAGGCCCCTGACAAACGGGGCCCAGCGCGACTGCAGTGCTTTCTGCGCTCGAGCAAGGAAAGAGTGTGACTTCTGTGCAAGAGCTGCTCTTGGAAAGAATTCCATGTTCTCCGTGCTTTAAGAAGAAAATCTGTCTACACCCCCTAGTTGTTTTCTGCTGTGAGTCTGAATGAAATTGCAGACAGGATAACTGACTTGTAGGATATGAATTGCACTCCTGTTCCATCCACAGGGGTATCAGTCCTCTCTTCAGTACTCACGCAAGGCTTCTGCTGCTGCCAACACCATGAAAGCTGTTGGGGAGAAGTTACCTCACTGGGCTTCGAGGAGTTTTGACTCTACCATTACACAGTCCACACCTCTTATCCTTCCAATGCCACTTCAGCAAGACGACGCCAGGGAAATACAGCAAAGGGGAACATATATCTAAAGAATGAGCATCGTGCAAGCTTGGCTTCCCCATGCTAAGACAAGCAAGCCTGACACCCTCTCTAGAAGACCTAGCCCAGCTACTTGGAAAGCCAGAACTCAGCAAGGCAAGCATTGGGGCCTCAGTGGAAATGACAGTCTGCCAGTGCATAGGTCTCCCTTAGTACAAAAGTTCTGGCTTCAAGCAGCAGTGACCAGACTTTCCTGGTGTTTGGCAGACCCAGCACCAGTCCCCTTCGGGCCCCAGCTGGCCAGCCCCAAGTTCCCTAAGCAGGGATGCCAAACCCTACTCACTAGCAGGAAATAGTGGTTTGAATGATTTCAACTAGTAGTGCACTATTCTCCCCAACAAAATGGGAAATTCTGTCTACTTTAGGATGGAGTCGGGGGACGCGCTGCCTTCACTCATAGTCCTGACACACTTTCCCCACTTGTCAGCACCATTTCTACCATCGATGGTGACTGGAGAGACCAGCTGGGGATTCCAATGGAGCAGCCAGGATTATGCTGGTCATCCTAGACCCGGTCGCCACTGCCTACGAGACAGATAGTGCAGGGTGCTACCAACTGCTGGCAGAATCCTTTTCTCCACATATTGGGAAAGCCAGTTTAAACCACTTGTGGTGATCCTTTTGCCGTCATTTTTACAAAGTGAAACATCTTCTGCATTCACCTAGTAAATGGACTCAGAGATGCCAGGGGGCTGGCAGAATTGGAGCAGGGCACCGTGGCCCCTAGTGGCTCTACTCAGCTCCAGAGGAAATCGGAAGACATACGTTTCATTCAGTCAATAAAGAACACACTGAGAGCATCAGGGTCATCACTGTCAAAGGACAACACCCCTCCCCTGGGGTGTGGCCCAGACTCAAGATGCAGGGAGACACCTACTTCCTATCTCACTCACAACATATTGTGTTAGAAGGTCATCAGAACGAAACAGGGAAAATGAACTTTTTCCTACCATAAAAAGCCCAGGCTAAATCAAGACATTTCATCCCCCCGAATTGCTTTTCCTAGTCACTAAAAAAGTATCAAGATGTTTTTTATCCAAAAATATTAAATACCCTAGGATTTCTTCAAAATAATATGTAACTGTAATTTTTCATTAATCTCCTTTCTACATCTTCTAATACTATAACTTTTAACACTTTGGGGCCATTTTTTCTATTCTTCATTATGACAGGTGTCAGAGCAACCACCATGCAATCGCTATTAAAACCATCATCTAGAAAAGAAGAGTGAGGCTTCTCTGGCAAAATCCACAAATCTAGGGACCATCTTTGACCAGTCGCTAAAATAAAATGGAATTGTATCAGAGCAGCCACTTTTGGATTTTTTTTAAAATTTTAACCTGAAGAAACTGTTGTTTTCTGGCTATATATAGCTACTCACATAGCCACAGCATATAAATTCACATCGTAAGAGAGGGAAATCTTAATTTTAAGAATAATTACACATTTTTCCCCCCTTTGGAGAAATTTTACAGGATGAGAAGGACTCAGATGTGGCCCTTAAATAAGTTAGCTGTATCTAAATCTTTAGTCTCTTCTGTCTCTCTCTGTCTCTCCCAAGAGTATAATCACTAAGAATTAAAATGTGTATACGTTGTCCTGGACCTTAGCATCCAAGACAAAGGTGGAATAAATGTCTCTCTGGGACCCTAAAGGAGAAAGCCCAGCACAGCATAGACAGGAGTACCCAGGAGGGCTGTGGGGGTTTTCCAAGAAGCCCTCAGAGCCCCAGACAGATGGAGTCCAACTTGTTTCTCTTCGCTCTCCCAACCATTTACAAAAGGCCACAAAGGATTCCCAGGCATAAAAGAATCAAATGAAATAATGAAGGCATGTTCAAGGTCACTTTTACATGGAGAGAAAATCCTACCATCAATAAGACTCTTTGGGGCAAAATATAGGAACTGGGGGATCGGCTTCCATCTCTGCTCCCCCACACCAAGGCCCTGACCATCTGAAGGGGCCACAGCAGCCAAGTCCTGGAGCAAGGAGGGGAGGAGGCAGACCTTCCTCCTGCTCTGAAGGTCTGGGTTGTGAATTTGTCTGACAAAAGCACTTTTGTGTGGCTTCACTTCCCGTTACTATCACACTGCCAAAAACTACAGCAACAACACAGTGAAAGCACGTAAAAGCCAATACAGACTTGATAGGTAAGCACGATCACACATTGGTGCACTCTGAGGATGCCATTTGCAGGGGGGCTGTGCCCACCTGGCAGGCAAGCCTGAGCCCCCCTCTGGAGCCGGCCCAGGAGACTCTCAAGCCCTAAGAGTCTCTTCTCCAGCTTAAGAAAACTTCCTGGCAGGTATCTAGAAAAAGCTGCAGCTTCCCACCACCCCTCCTTCCCAGCCATTGCACTAACTTCCTCCTGAGCGCCTCCAAGGCACCGCTACCACCTCCCTCTGCCCAGCCTGGGAGCTTCTGAACCTGGCAGATCCTACCCCACCCCCAATGTCATGTCCGATCAGACTGAGCCGTTTAAAACTTCTCCCCCATTTCACTTCCCCCAAGAAAGAAAAATATTCTTTCCATTGTCTAGATCATTCCCAATTGGAATTGATAAAAGGGGGCGTTGCTGACCTTTGCGGAGATCTGGGAAGCTCCACAACGCATTCTTTCGACAAAACTCCCTTTCAAAACTAAGGCTGGGGCACGTTAAATTTTAAAAGTTAAAGAAAAAGGACGCTTTTTGCAGCGGTTCCTTCCTATGGTCGGTCCAAGGGTGCGACACCGGGAACTCAGCCACCGGGGGGGTCACGCCCCACACCCAGCCAGAAACACAAGGGGTGAGATAAAACGTAGTCCGATACCCTTTCAGTTCACCCATTCTGGAGCCCCAATTTCCTAACCCGTTTCCACCCGATTTAGTGCCTGTTAACTGTAGCATCAACACAAACAACCTCCTCTCCCCCAAAGGGGGCAGTGGGCACAATGGCGATCTCTCTGCAAAATGCTCGTGGCTGTGACATTCGGTAGCGGCAGGTCATCTCTTCCCAAGGCTTTCGGGTGCCGTCCACCCTCAGTGCGTGCAGGAGTGAACGAGTGTGCGGGTGTGAGTGTGAACGTGTGTTTTCCTCCGTGCGGGCGCTTGCCCAGGCTCTGACGCGCACCCAAGCTCGGTAACAGGCCCGGCCCGCAGCTGCTCTTCAGCCCGGAGTCCGCGGTGGCGCGACCGCCCCCTTCCCGGCCCTCAGGCTACCTGCAGCCGCACGCCTCCACCACCATGTCCTCGTACTGCTTGTAGACCACGTTGTTGGCGGCGTCTATGTAGAGGATGCTGATGGGGCTGAGGCGCGCGGGCACGCAGCAGGAGGCCGGCGCCGCGTCGGGCGCCATGGAGTTGAGCAGCGTCTGAATGATGGCGTGGTTGGTGGGCTCGAGGTGCGAGCGCAGCGGGAAGTCGCAAACGCCCTCGCAGTGGTACGCCTCGTAGTCCAGAGGCGCGATGATCCAGTCGTCCCAGCCCAGCTCCTTGAAGTCCACGTGCAGCGGTTTGCGGCTACAGCGGCTCCTGCCTCTGCGCCCCTGGCCCCGGCCCGCGCCCCCGCC